CCTCCGAAGTATCTTGTCCTTGACAACCCTGCTCAACTCATGTAAATTCAAGGCTATGGCTTCTTTTATGGTGTTAATCTAGCTCATATTCCTCATCTTCTGCCTTCAACTTTCCCTAGTATGATTGTCTGCTTCATTCAGTCTTGCGTTCTCATGATGTGCCTGAAATATGACATCTTCAGTTTTGTCCTGTTTGTTTCTATGGACTGGATTTGATCTAGGACCCACTTGTTTGCCCTTTTGGTCCAGGGTATTCACAAAGCTTTCCTACAGCAGCTTGTTTTGAAGATATTTCCAACAGATGCATGACTTCTAACCTTAAGCATAGTAGAAGCATTGGCTTGGATTCTATATATGCTTTTTACATTGCTGGCTGCATTTGCTATTGGTATTTGGTTTTAGTGACAGTGAACACACAATTTCAGCAGTGATGACAAATTGCCAGAGTTATTATGGTTTTGCTCTCCTGTCAGGCACAACTGCTTATCATGTAATTCCCTAGGTAAACAGACAAAAGCATGTGCCAAGATGCAGATTTCTACCAGCTTAAGAGAAATATTTTGGGTATTTGCCCATGTTCTACAAGTACAACAGTGCTCCTAATGCTCATTAGCTAAACAGATGCAAAACTTGGTGATCTGGTCCTCTTTTCTCAGATTGCTCCTGCTTTTGTGGTCTACAAGGCTGATTATTGCTGTTCAACTATCATGCTTTTTCCAGGATCTTTGTGTTACACTGAGAACACATGATTCTGCCTTGCTTCAGTGATCCTAAGCTCAGGGTCTCTCAGGTCACGAAGTAAGTATTATTGGAACAGCATCCATGCCTCTCTCATTATTTTTTAAAAGAAGTAAAGTTGGTTGTTTTCAGGCCTTGATTGCAAAGGAAACTTTGCTACTGTAAAAGCCTTGTTTATGTTAAAGGTTAAAAAATGGAGAAGTTAAGAAATAACAGTTGCAATAACAAGCTGAGCATATATTCTCTAAGTTAATATTCTGATTTGGCTGTTGCCATAACTGGCCTTGACTATAGAACAGGGGTGTTAGCTTAACATCACATTGTAATTTGATAAATGGATGATATCCCACTCAAGTAGTACATGTGGGAGTAAATGTCTTTGTTTATGAAATGGTGATACAGTGAGATGAAATGGCTTGGAGTACTGTAGACATGAACTGCTGCACTTTAAGAACTGCTGCTGGCTGCCTTCCGCCTTTTCAGCAATCTTCACTGACCTCAGTTAAGCACATCAGTGCAGAATGGAATCATCTAGCCTTAGTAATCCAGCAGCTTCCTGGCACATATAAGCAGGCCATCCAATGGGTTGTGGGCTGCTCCCAAATCGAGGAGCACCAAAGGGCATGTGCTCTATTGGTCTGCCTTCTCAAGATGCTAAAAGGATGAAGGTGCGTTTTTATTTTTACATACCTGGAACTGTGCTATGGCAGGAGGCTATGGGGCCAAGTGTGGAATGACTCATCCAGTGTAGTGATGGACAGAGAAAATATGGCACTGGGAAGAGGGCTGGCCAGGTGAGGAGCTAAAGACTGAGTTGTGTTCTGGTCCTTCTTCCACCTGCAGGCTTGATGGTTGCTATGTCAGCTTGGTTTCAGGCCTCCAGATGCTGCTTTAAATGGCAGAGTTGTGCAGAACGGAATCTTTCTCCAGGTGCGCTATCTGTCTGACAACCAGTTTGGAGTGCTTGCTCCTTATGTTGGGCCAGCAAGACATATTGGAGATTTTGGTGGTATACTGCCCATCCTGCAATCCATCAGTCTCCCTAGGATCACCCAATACCTGTTACATACTGGCCCCATGGATATCTTACAACCATCTGAGGCCTGCTGCAATATATTCACTGGACACTTCCAAGAGAAATTTCTTGCATCCACCAGGACTTAGACTACAGGGTTAACGCAATTGACTCTGTTGAGATACTTTTTTGAGTATGCCCAGTTCTATTGAATGAGTTTCAGTTGGTACAGCTCAAGGATTTTGGCAAGGTGCCTGGCCAGGTTTGTGCAACTACCTCTGTACTGGTTCTTTGTCCCTTCCTGGTTTTTAAAAGCTAGCAATAAAGGAACAATCAGCTGAGCCAGAGGAGTGACTGATTAATGCCTCCTGAAAGAGGCTAGAGTGAGAGCACTTTTGAAGAAATCCTCACTTGACCTCGAAGACCTTAGTAACTTTAGGTGGATAGCAAATGTTCCTTTCCTGGGCAAGATTCTTTATTGGGTGGTAGCCTGTCAACTCCATGTTTTAACCTATATAGTCACATGGTTTGGGACCACAATACTTGGCAGATTACCTCTCCCAACTGCAATCTCCCTGGACATTTTTGTTAACACTTGGGACCTTCCCCTATGTCCTTCCTCTTAGCTCTGAGGGATACTCAAAAGGGCAGGCACAAGAGGGAGGGCTTTTTTAGTGGTAGTGCCCATTTATGGAATGGCCTTCATACTGTGGATTGCCTCATGCAAATCATGTCATCTTATTCAGGGACTTGGGAGGATTGCCCATTCTAGGCTTACATGATCATTCCTTACTTTGCATTTTTACCTGCTTTTTATGTTTTGTTTGATAAGATTTTATGGTCTTTATGGTATTGTTTTTATGTACTGTTGTAAACCTCCCAGTGAACTTAAGCTATGGGATGGTACAGAAATTAAATGAATGCATTAATAAATACAATAATCAATGAAGTAAATTAATGACCAGAATGAGAAGTTGATTCAGCCTCTGTGTGCTATTGTATTGATAGTGATATGTAGGATTCAGTTCACAAGCATAGAAATCAGTATGTTTCTAACTAGCCTTGCTGAACTAGTTAGTTTTATCAAGAAAAATCATATGAAATAACAAAAGGTTGAAAATGAAGTATATAAACATTCAAAGGTGTCAGAAATGTGGAGGAGGCAGAAGAAACTCAGCTACTCCAAAGCATGCTGTTCTAAGATCTTTTTAAAGCAAAGTCAGATCATGTCAAACTGTATTTTGAGGGTGCTTTGAAAACCAGTTTTGCTGAAATATTATTTCAAGTACACTTATAGAAGCTTACATATGCTACGTGGAACCTTTCAGTCATTCTTGAAGAAGGGACTGATCACTCCTCTACCCTCATACTAGTACCAGAAAACACCTGAAACTTTATTCTCCCATCCCAAGTTTCAAATGCAGTGGTCTCTGTGAAACATGTTGAAGGCCCTTGAGTATATGAGAACAGTTGTACAATTTGCTGGATTGGGGCTATGAATGCAATTCAGGCAGTAGACTTTATACTGGCATCTTCATATTTTCTTTAAATTGGCCATCACAAGTCATTATTTGGGATCATTATTCTTGCTCAATGAATCAATGTTTTTTTTTCCAATTTTACTTGCAAGTGTTCAAGATTAGTTTGGGAATTTCCCGAATAAATATGTGCATTATGAGAACTCATCTTCAGAAGCAAATGGATCTAACAATGTTTTTCAGCTTATTGATGAGGGAAAGGATAACATTAGGAGTGCTATCCTTTATTTACAGCATTTTTTCTATATTGTAGTGATTACAGCTTGATTTAGAATTGCTGTCATACTTAAGAACTTTCTCAGCAAGTGTTTATTTCTTCTGTGTTTCACTCCCAGAGAGGGGACACCACAGTTGTGAGGACTTGTTTTCCTGACTATACATTTTCATAATTCTGGCTACTTCGTTAAGATTTTCCTTTTCAGGGTACCTTATAGGAAGCATTGTTTTTGTTGTTCCAGAGAAAGTCTGGTTAATTTTAGTTTGGGTGGAAGATTGTGTTTTGAAATGTCATACTGTGTTTTATCTGACCGTGTCTATTGAGAGTGTGCCAAATGTTGATAGTCATCACATTGATCCAGTTCTCATGATCTCTGGGGCTGTTTGTTCAAGCCATAGTATGTGTGTGTGCCTTTCCTGGATGTAGCTTGTCATGTCATCTGAACTGAGGTGACATGGCTTATTTGAGGGGAAAATAATCCGCAGGGAACCCATGACGTGTTAGTTGAAGGCAATTTCCCCCTCAAACAAGCCATGTGTCCTGGGTCCAGATGACATGACAAGCTGTGCCCTATGCCCGGGTGGGTAAAGACATGCTGCAGCATAAACAAGCCAGTGGGGGTTGCTTAAGCAGTGGTGACTATGTGTGTTGGGCCATTACTTGGGTTCACACAACACAATAGCACATACTCAAGGGCTGTATGAGTATGTGTGTTGTTCTTTAATTGTAGGCAGTTGTTGAAATGAGAGTGTTCACGTTGTCTGAACCCAGCTGCAGTTATGGGCTATGGTTTGTTAACAATGAACAATCCACAGTTCACAGCCCAATTACAAACTGTAGGATGTTGTTATCGCTAGGTTTAGATAAAAGCAACCCATGTTTTAGCAACAGCCCGTGATTCCATCACAACCCGCACTCAAACCATACTCAACCCTTGAGTGTGAGTTACCATGTTGTGTGAACTTATTGTGTATTTTCAGTAGAAAAACAGATACATGTTTTTGTAAATGGCAAATGTGCTTGTTTAATTTTTTTATAGTAAAGTTGGTCAACAGAGGCCAGTAACCTTTATATACAAGTAAAAGTTGCGTAGAACCAGTGAACTGACCAGTGATACGCATGTTTGCAATAAAGGGCTTAAAGAACTAGCCTAGGCTCTGAGATTAGTCTTTGAGGTTAGTCTCTTTGGTTCACCTAAGCATCATCATAGGCCTTTTCAGTGATGGCTTCTCTGATTTGGACTTCTTCCCCATGAGTCATGGTATGGCCCCTCATCAGTGAAAACATTTTTAAACATTCCATGTGGCTTATAGGGCTGCATGTTTTGGTTACTGTTGTTTGGTTGTTCATTTTACTGGATTTGTTTTATTGTTTGGTATATTGGATTAATTGCTGTAAATCACCCTGTGAGGATTTTACCCTAAAATGTAGGATTATAAATCTAGTAAATAAAAATAAACAAACATAGATGCAATCTGAAACTCAAGAATAGTGACATCACAATCTACCCTTTGTTTATAGCATCCCTGATGACAAAGCAAATGCACCACAATGCAGTTTTTTAATCATCTGCTCACCCAGTCTATAGAACTATAAGAAATAGCAAAATCATATAATTTCATATTTTAATAACTTTTCTTAACAAGTGTGGAAGTCAAGCGAGGAAGAACAGAGATAATATTTTTTCAACTGTCTAGGAAACATATCAATTCAAACCAGGCTAGAGGATGATAGCCACCTGTTTTATACACTGATTTTTTGTAATATTTCAAATCAAAGGGCTAAATGTTTTGCTTTTCTTACTTCTGGAAACAACTTCAATGAGTCATAGGGTTGCTATCAAAGAAGAAACAAAACTCATATCTGTATTAAAAACTTAGAGCAGTTCTACACTGTTGCCTTTTTCTTCATCCTGGAGCTAGTTAGAAAATGCAAATGCCAACTGTTACAGAGTTTGAATTATATTGAAATTCTTGCTATTAAAGAATAACAACAACAGTAAAACTAACAACAACAAAATAACTATTTATTTGTCTTGGCTTTATTTGGAACAATACTGGAAGTTTAAATTGCAAGGTTCTGCTAGTTTCTGCTTCCTATACTGTCCTATTCAGTGCTATGAGTCACACATAGCTATATGGTTTCATAGCATGCCTGTGGGGTTTTGGAAAGTTTGTATTATGCTATTTTAGTCTATGGTCACTGGTAGACCAAATTAGAATGCAGGTCTCTTTCAGAAGTGACAATTGAATGTGTAGGTTGGGATTGGGGCTTGCTGTTGTGCAAATGTGCTATATGTAGGGATGCACATTGGATTGGATTCCCTGGACTTGACTCCTTGCACTCTGGCTCATTTTGCAGCAGCTCAGAATCTAAGTTTCTGGTGAGTGTGCCCAGTGGTCATGGGCTGTTTACCAGGAACTGAGTCCCATGTGCTGTGCAAGCAACATTTCTCTTGTACTCTAGGAGCTGCTGTCATTTGAGCAGCTGCAGCTGATGCGAAAGAAGACTGAACATGAGGGGCTTGCCAGGAAAGTAGTCCCTGCTGACCACTAGCAGCATCCTTCTCATGTTCCAGGAGCAGCTACCATTTGACCACTGCAACTGATGCTGGAGAAGGCTGGTCACAAGGGGCTTGCCAGGAAAGCAGCCTCCACAAGCAGTAATATTGCGCCTCTTGTGCATCATCAGCAGCCACATTTTGGAGTGCTGTAACTGACATGGAGGGTTGATGATTGGGCAACCAGGCCTCACAAGTGTTGATTGACTACTTCTCAGCTTGGCTTGCTTAGTAATAACAGGCTGAACACAAGAGGAAGCTGCAGATGCTTGGTGGGATGAATTCTGGTATGTTTCTCTCCAGGCCTAGCTACATGCATTTACTGAAACAGGCCATTTTTATTCTGACATCAATGTTATTGCTATATTTGCCACATAACACATTAGAACTCAGTAGCTACCACCTCTTGCTATTTTTATTGCTTCTGTTAATAATGTTTATACAATCTACCAGTGTACATGACAGCTTACATAATTTCATAACAAAAATAGATTGTTTAGGTGAAGTAGGAGAGAGGATGGAGAATAGACAGAGAAAAAAGAACATGGGCCAACACAGTTGCATATACTTAAAATTTGGTTACATCTGGGAATGGGAGATAAGTCAAAAATGGAGTTTGATGAGTGATTTGAGAGAAGACTGAATTTTGGTGCCACTGTGGATATATTCAGGGAAGATATATTAAAGGAAAAATGGGGGAATTGTGTTGTAAAGCAGGAGAATCTTGGGAGAAGTTGGTGGTTTGGGAGGATCAGAGGCAATAGACAAACATACAATGAGAAGAAGGCTTGAAAAAAAGTTCATATAATTAAAGATTGAGGATAGGTCAAGAGAGTTTCTGGAGAGAGTGGTGCCATGTTTGCACACACTGGGGGATAGTTGTTGTTTTTTTGTGTGTGTGTGTGAGAATAACAGCTATGGGGATAGTGGAAACAATTGGTAGAAAATAGGATCAAGAGTGTGCATATATATGTACATGTGTGGCAGAAGGCTAAATGAGAGCTGCAGAGTAGCTATCTCACCCAGCAAGTCAGAGTGGAGAGGAAAAAGGATTAGGAGAATGAGAAGTGGCCCAAAGAAATAGGGTAAATGAAGGAATATCACTGAAAAAGAGGAGAGTTCCTGAGCAGCATGTAAGAAAGTTGAAGTCTTGGGTCTGGCCCTACCATAGGATCATAGGTGTAGGGATGTATGAGAGTCTTGTATGTACCCCAGTGGTATGGCAATGTGTCCTAGATAAAAAGATGCAGAAGAGGGGGATGAGTATGGAATTTCTGTCGAGTAAATAGCATTTCTGATTTATTTCAGATGTGCTCAAAATCCTAATAGTGTGAGTGGAGATCATGATGGAAAGAATCAACCCAGGCCTAGGGATTAGTTGAGTTGAACCACTTTGTGGGATGTTAGAATAAATGTAAGGAGGAGTGAAAGTGAGTACTGCTTAGTCAGTGTTCAGAACTCAGGTCATAGAAGAGGGAAGAATATGCTACAGGGTAATGGCCAGAGAGGGCAAATTCCGCAATGTGGAGGTCCAGCACAGAACAGTTCTTAAACAACACAAGATCAAGATAGTGGACATGACAGTGTGTAGTTGGTTCAGCTCTGTGGTTGAGCTTGGCTATGCTTCCTGGATTTATAGCATCAGGAACTCTTTGATGATGAGTAAGAATGGCTACTGAAGATTAGCAAAAACTTGAAACAGCAGTGGGTAAGACTTTTATTGCAGATATGCAAAAACAACAATCCCTTCCTTATTCTCTAAGGATCAGAGCACAGCTAGTGCTTTTTATTCTTAACCGTTGTTAAGGAAGCAGGCTTTGAGATGATGCACTCCTTGCTTCATTTCATGCCCTCGTGGTGTGAATTTTCCCTGCTCTTCCCCACCAGTGGAAATGCTCACTTCCATAATGGGGCAGAGCAGTAGAGCTTGAAGAAAAGTTTTTCTCTGGCCTATTCCATTCTGGAAAAGAGCACTTCTGCTAGATCTAGGGATTGTTTTAGGAAATCCTAGTTGGTTCTGTTGGAGAACAGAAACAGTTGGGAAAACCAGTACATTGAATATTGCCCTTAACTAATGCTTGAAGGAAATTTAAATTGTAGATAAGGATTTAATCTAGGGTTTAAATTTAAACTTAACATTTCTTTAACTCTACTTAGGGTTAGTTATGCTTGAAGAAGTGTCAGTATATGCCAGTTTATACTAACTATGGTTTAAGGAAATAGAGGCATTTACACTTGGGAGGAGCGGGCATTATTGTGAACCAGTACAATCTTTCTATATGTTTGATGTTTTATGCTTTTCTTGATTTGCTGGAATTTCCCACTGCAGATTATACCCTATAGACACTTCCTTCCTTGTTTTGCAAAATTCTGACAGTTGTTTGTCTTCCTAATTTTGAAAATATATCTGGTTTTGTCAGTCTTGCTATTTTTCTGCTGATATCTTTTTTTTTCTTTTTCCACTGTCTTATGCAAAATTTTGTTCTTAACTGTCTGCTTTCCCCTAACGCTTACAACCTCCTAGTTTTCTGCTGGTTATGTCATGTTTGATAATTTGGTAGGCAATTAAAGTGAAAATTATAATTTCTGCTGATATTACAGTTACTTCAGTGAAAAATTGTAAAGTAAAACAGAGGGTAGGAAGCATGATTATGTTTTGACATTACAATCTCACTGCAAGCCGGTTTTTGTCAATCTACTAACTCTAAAGGTTGGCTTAGTGGAACCAAAACAAAGCACTTAGATTTCAAAGAGTCCCATCTTATTTCCTGCCTTGTGCTTGATGCACTGCATGCCTTTTTGATTAAAATTTTGGTTGTTATGGTTGCAACAGGCCCACACAGCTCATTTAGGCAATTCTAATGCAATCCATAGAGCATGGTGGGTTTGAATAGGAGAATTAACGATGCCCATCTGACAGCAGAGAGACTACCTGATGCCAGAATGAGATAATAAAAGATGGCAGACTACCAAGCTTTTGTACAGGTAACAAACTAACATGCCATGTTTAAGAGTGGAAGTGATATTGGTGGTCATAGAAGCTTACTTTTAGAAATGTTTTAACTTATAGTACAAAAATTTTCAAAATCTGCTTAATCCTGTTTGGTGACTTCTGTGACTCTGGGCATTCTTAATACCTGATGAGCTAAATAAGTCTTATGGTTTGTATATAATGATTATCCCAAAGAAGTTGTGATAACAAATAAATATGCCTGAACTGTGATCCTACAAGCCTGTATGGATTCCCTCTCTGGGTTTTGTATACTGCTAGTGGTGTGCCATTGTTGATTACAGAGTTAGTGAGAATTTTGTACTCCATTCTGTATGTGTAGGAGAAATTAGAGGTTTGGGAGGACTTGAATGTTGGCTCTTCATTAACTTCAGAGTGATGTTTTGATTTACAATAGCAGTATTATGATCTTTAGCCCTGCTCCACTTTGCATAGCTGCTCATGAAATGTCAGAATAATCCTGTCAAAAACATTGCTTAAGCAAAAAACCTCTTTATTTTCACAGCTCTCAAAAAGAAAGTGCTCACCAAAGGGGGGGGGGGGGTTGAAGATCAGAATATTGCTATTGTAGATCAAAACTGCTATTGAAGGTAATGAAGAGTCAAAATTGTCAACCTTTCTCTACCTTCAAATCCTTCTACACAGACACAAAATAGCATGGGGTGTGGAGTGTAGATGTTAGTTTTCTGGAGTACCTAGAGGCTGTGGAAAATGGAAAAAGTGGAGAAAATTAAGAACAGTTGGGGCAGTACAATAAAACTTAGAAGATCACATAGAAAAAGGAGGAGATGCATTCACCGTTGCATTGTGTGGGTGAAGATCCTTTTGCAGTAGTGTTTTTCTGTTGACAGCTTGCAGTTTCACAGCTGTCAAATGGAAAGAAAAGTTCTAAAAAAAATTTGTAGCCTTGCTTTGGCAGTGTCTGTGGATGTTG